CTGAATATTGAACCACAGTTCTACTGCTGCTCTAATTGAGCCATCATGGAGTGAACGTACAGGAAAGAAATTGTATTAATTAGGTTTGGAAGTTTAACATAAGGAAATTAAAGGGGGCAAAATAGAAAAATATGAGTATCAGCTCAGGAATAGTCCTTCAAAATGCAGAGAGAACGTAGGTCTGAAGTGGTTTAGGCACACACATTATTAGAGTACTCCTTCAAAGACATGATTAGTAGTTCCAGCACATCAAACTGATTTTCAGCTTCTGTTGTCTGCATATGGAAAATTATTAAATTACTCGACTGACCAAATTAATAGTTTAAAGAGCAATTCAGCTGAGTGGGGAGCCAGAGTGGTCTCATCAGAATGGCAATACCCTTAAAAGTACTTGCTCTGGGAGAAGAATATGAGAAATGGCTTTCACAGACATCAAGTCCAGATCGTTGTTTTGGAGTCTGTGCCTTAGAGGGTTCTCCAAATGAGGGATTACTGCATTACTGTTGGACAGTGCTCTTATGCCACATGAAAAGAATGCTAATGACCTCAGGAAATCCTTTCCCAACCTTAAAATATCTGTCTGATGACTTCACAAATACGGATTCCAACATTAGATTTCCATACCACAACTTCAGTTCTGTAAATTAACACAGCCAAAGAACATCCCTTCTTTTTTTGTTGTTTTGGTTTTTTTGGGGGGATTTCAGGTACAAATATCCATCAATTGATATATCCATGGTAAAGCACAGTGACCTACCCAAAACACAGCTTATTCAGATGGCTGCTTGCAGGAGTGCCTTGATAATTATATATAACAATCATGTCATGATTGCATGGTAAAGCTCTTTAACCTTTCCTGATTCTGTCCTGTATTTAGCCCACAACAGGCAGAGCAAACCATTAATAAGTTGCATCCTCAAGTTAATGGCAAGGAAAAGGAAAAGCAAGACAGAGATTTAAGATCAAAATGACAGGAATTTTACACTTCTGAAATTAATGACTTTTAACTGTCTTGCTCACAATAGCCTATTTACACCACCCAGACCTTAAATCTTCCAGAGAAGGCAGAAAAGTTACCCACAGATTTCAAAAGAACAATACCATCAGCTCAGAAGCAGACACAACATTCTGTTAAATTAGAAAACTGCCTTCAAATTTCCATTAAGATCCTAAATAAGGAAAAAGTACTATAATAAAACTATTCTCCAGTGATGAATTAATAGTGGTTTATGCTGAACTAGGAATGCATTTGAAAATTTGTAGTATGCTAAATTCCATAGTGCTTTCACTTTAACTCTTATCATAAAAAATCCAGTTACTTAAAGCACTGAGATCTATACAAAAAAAGGTTATTTCCAAGTACTAATGGAAATTGAGTATTTGATAACTGGAACAGTTTTTACCTGAATGAATGAGATAAATAACTAAGGAATACAGAATGTTCTGCTTTGTCCGGTATTTATAAATTCATATGATATAAAGGGAAAATACTGGGGGGAAGTATCAACATTCCATGCTTAAACTAAAGAGAAAAATTGGATAAAGTGACCTGTGGGTTTGTTTAAAAAAACCAACTGGCCCCAGGTTTACCAGCAGCTCCCATAAATTGTGCTTGGGAGGGGACATAAATACCTGAGCTTAACTTCCCCTCTCTCTAAGTCACATCAGGCTGACCCAGGCACAGTTCAAGGACAGTTTAAGTCAACCTGAGCTGACACTTTGTGCTCCTCCTGCCCCTGGCTTTGCTCTCCTGGCCTCTCCCTTGCACTGAGCTGCTGCTCTGAACCCACCTGGTGGGAAACCAAGCCAGCAAAAAGAGGGGAAAAAACCCCAACTTTGTGCTGAACGTGGGATCACACCAGAAAAAAAGTGCTGAGGAGAGGCAGGGGGTGGGGAGCAGGAACACAGCAATATCCACGTAAAGCTGCTTAAATACCTGTGCTGCTTAGGGAGCTGACTCCATCCTCTGATCTGCTGGCCCTCCCTAGAGCCCAGAGCCCTGTGGACAGCCCAGCCCACATGGGATTGGCAAAAGCCCATTTCCCTTCTGATGCGGAGTCTGATTTATTATTCCATGCCAAAAGCAGCCAGCTCTGTCTAAGAGCAGAGTTAGAGCAAAGGATGGGGCAGCATCAGCAGTGGGGGGTGGAGACAGGAGTTGCAGGCAGAAATGTGCTGGACACTCTCCCACAGGGAAATGGAGAGGTTGCATCAGGCAGGAACCTTTTTCCTCACTTGTGAGTGAGCAGCTGGTGGTGCCCCAAAGCTCCTTATTCCCATCCACAATGCCTATGGAGGCTGCTCCTACAGCATTCCCTACTCCTGCTCCAGGACACTCTCTTCAGCACAAGGGGCTCTAGGAAACATTTATTCTCACCACTTCTCTCTGCTTTATTTACTCACTGCTGTTGATCTTTTTTTTAAAAAACACAGAATCATAGAATCACTGAAAAGTTTGGTTTGGAAGGGATCTTAAAGCCCATCTTGCCCCAGCTCCCTTGCCATGTGCACCTTCCACTAGAGCAGGTTACTCAGAGCCCCATCCAGCCTGGCCTTGAACACTTCCAGGGGCAAATCTGGGGCTGAAACCTGACATTTGAGTGGTAAAATCAGGGAGCCTCTTACCCTATTCCTCCTCCCCTGCTCACATCCCATCCCACAGGTACTGTGTGACCAAAAGGTCTCTCTGCCAGCTCCGCCCAGGATATTCAATATCCCCTGGCAGGGAATAAATTATTGCAAGGCAATCCCAGGAGGCTGCTGGGGTGAGTGTCCTGTTCCCAGCAGCGTTGCTCCCTGAGCCTCTCAAGGAACAGGAACTGAGGAATCTCCTGTGGATTTGAAATGGAGAGAAGCCTATCTGCTCAACAAAACTTGTTTTTGAGATACCCAGAGCAATCATCTCCTGAAGTCAACCTTAACAACAACCAGAAACCAGATCTATATCCTGAACAATCAAATATAACTCAACAGAACAGGCTCATATCCTTGGTATTTTGATTTGTCTCCAAAACAAGATACAGTAATTACATCTATAATCAAATACCATAATTCACAGTTTAATGTGGTGCATTTATGTAGTCAATCATGATTAGTTCAGGTTTTTTAGGTTTCTGAAACCCTGTCTCGATTAGGGAGAATGGAAACACCAGCTCAGAGATTCAGCAGCACAATCTTTTAATGTATTTCTGCTTCATTTACGTAACAGGGGATTACAACAACAAATTTTACTCTGGTGAGGCTGAATTTATACCAAAATAAACTTCACTTTTATATCAGTGAAGCAAAACTACAGGAGAGGAGTGTGTGTGAGCCATACCAAGGTAACAGGGAGCCGTCTCCACCAGGGAAGATCTAATGGGAGAATCTCCTTCACTGTAGCCAAATTCAAAATTTATGTTTCTTACTTGATCCTCAGACATTCCCTTCATTAAAGAACAGTGCTGAAAGCACACATGCACTTTTCAGTCAGTGCACTGCAAGCTTGAAACTGAAGTGAAAAGGTTCTAAGAGCACTGCAGTGCACTCAGAGCAATTTTAAAGTGTAAATTTCCATTGGCAACCGGACTCACGCAAGTCATTCTTTGTTCTCACAAATGTCTGTTGGATATATCAAGGACAGAGTTATCCTGTTTATTTATTTATTTCTAGCAATACTTGGGAAATCAGGTTGTAAAACAAAAAGTACCATGCTGTTTTTAAATGAGGGATTATTGCCTAGCTGGGACACAGATTTAGCAGGACATACAAGTGATCAGGAATGCAAGCCTCACTAAGGGGAGCTATGCACTGAAATCCCTCTCCTGCAAACACTCCTGAACTTCCCTGTGCTGATGGAACTGCCACAATCTAATGTCAGTGAACAACTCAGGGATTGAGGAAGTGCTGGAACACAATTCTTGTGGGGCAGAGCTGTGTAATGCCTATCAGTGTGAGCTCAAAGCTCCATCCAGCACCCCACGCAGGCAGGAGTTTACAGGCACAAATGTAATTCCCACCCTCCCTCCCCGGCGCCTTCCAAGCGGCAGAACCAGGGCTCCCATCTGGCCACAGTGAAAATGGAAATCTCTCTAATTGGCCCAGCTGCCTTTGCCTATAGAAACTCTTCAGAATAACAACAGTTGGCTTTTAAACTCGTGAGCACTCTGCTCCTGTGTTCTCGGTGAGGGCTGTGAAGAAGTCGGCAGCGGGGCTGGAGCCTTCTGCAGCCTTTCCCACAAACACCTGCCAACCCAAGGTTTTCCATCAGCCCTCTGGAATACAATCTTTTCCAGCTGAAAACCTTTGCAGTATCTTCGTGTTTTATCAGTGCACTACACTGCATTCATAAAGAGCTCAACCTGTAGGGTCAGTGAGGCCCAGCGAGCTGGATGTGCCACCTGGGTCCCTGCCATGGGGACAGGAGGTTCAGGGATGCTCAGGAAAACTCAGAGATGCTCAGGGAGGCTCAGGGATGCTCGGGAAAACTCAGGGATGCTCAGGAAGGCTCAGAGCAAAAAGATGTGACCAGTTTAGATTGACCAGCACAAACCCAGCATATCAGAGAATCACAGAATGACCTGGGTGGGAAGGGACCTTAAGGATCATCTTGTTCCACCCCACTGCCATGAGCAGGGACACTTTCCTCTATCCCAGGTTGCTCAGGTTTAAAACCAACCTGGTTTTAAACACTTCCAGGGATGAGGCAGCCACAGCTTGCTGGACAACCTCTGCCAGGCCCCACCACCCTCACAGGGAAGAATTTCTTCCCAATATCCAATCTAAACCTAATCTCTGACAGTTTGAAGCCATTCCCCCTTGTCCTGTCACTTTGTGCTCTTGTAAAAGCTCCCTCTCCATCTCCAGGCTCCCTTGAGGTGCTGACATTCCCTGCACACACAAAGTGCAAAGGGCTGAGCCTTGAGGGCTCTGTGCCCAGCTGGCCACACACCCCCAGCCAGCACACCAGGCTCGTGTGAGGCAGCACTGAAAACATCCAAAGAACCAGAAGAAGCTCTTACCTCTCCCTGGAAACTCTTCAGTAATGGAGCTACCTGTTTGCGCAGGTCCTGGAAGACAGAAGCAGGATATCCCATCAAAAAGTGCACAGGACAAGTCATCATCATGTTTTTTAGATGTTATTTTCAGTTCTCAAGTGTTACTTAAATTCTGATCACATTTTGTGGGAGCTTTGATTGAAATAGAATTATACCTGGAGTTCACTTTGAACAGGTCTGAATTTCCAGTTTGACATACACCTGCATCTGCTGCAAATGGTATTAATTATCCAAAGTGTGGTGGTGCTGGGTAAGCACTGAATGCCTTCAGTCTCCTAATTCAGCTGAAACATTAATGAGATTAGCAGTAAATGCCTCTATCTACCTCCACAGCAGCTACACCTCTGAACTTATGCCAAGGAAATTCCCACAAATGGAAGCCAGGCTTAAAGGAAGATGATTCTGGACGATCATTTCAACTAGAAGTGTTGCCATTTTGTAAAATCTCTGCTTTATTTATTATTTTCCCTAGAGTGCTCTGGCTTTAGTCATCAGAGAACTGGAGCTCATTGAAGATGACAAGTATTATTTGTTGGTTTCTGTATAACTCAAAATTTCTTCTTCCAAATTACAACACACTCAGTGCTACACAATTCATTAAAATACTGCCCACAGAATCACTCTAAAGGTTTATAGCATATTTTTATTTAGCAACTGAGATAAATTAGGACAAAAAAGGTATATTTATCATACATAAAATTTTCTCTGGCTTCAATTCTAAGCTGGTTTGGGTCTAATTCACTTACAAATTCCATAATTCTTATTTTGTGTGTGCCTGAAGATTAAAATCCAGTAACTTTGCAGAGGACACTATTAGTCATGTACAGCCAAGATGTTGCATTCCTGCTTTTGCCACTGACAAGGCACAAGCAGCCACTTTGTAGTGCACTTACACCTGGAAACAAATCTGCAAGAGAATTAAACCAATAACCTGGTACTGCATCACTTGAGAGGGCAGCACTGATGCTGCTGCAGGGAAAGGGTGGAATTCCCATCCTTGGAGATTTCCAAGGCTCAGCTGAGCAGAACTAGCGCTAAGTGAGTGCTAAAGACCCATTTTTAAGGCCAGGCGAGATCTGATCAGACTCTGGACAACCCCTCCAGCGCTGAGTCCTACAATGCTCTGGGAATACTGCCCAGAACTGCTGGAACAGTCACCAGCTGCTTCAGTAACCATGAAATCTTCCTACCTGCACACAGGCCACAGTCCCTGAGCTACCTGAACCTCGTGCAGGGGGTCACCAAGACATATTTGAAGCATTTTCTCCATACAGAAAAGGGCCTGCTGAGGCCTGAAGCTTTTCAGAAAAGATGACCTTAAAAAGTTGGGAAATTCTCTTTTCCAACACATTTACTTTTACATCTACAGTCATGCAACATATTGGTTGTTAAACCACTCACCAAAACACTCTCAGCCCTGGGTTTAATCTGATTTTCCTGAAGGAAAAGTAGGCTTTTGAGAGAAGTGATTTTTGTCATTTAAATGACAAGTCATGCAGAGAGTTGAGTATCAGGACTTCTCCCACTCCCTGAGAAATGGCTTAGGGGGCCCAAGGCAAATGAAGCTATCAAAGACAAATGATCAGTCAAATTTCACTTCTGACATGGTTATTGCACTAAAATACAGCTTAATCCCCATCAAGTCAAGGATAATATTGCAGCTTTGTGAGCTCCCTCTTCGGACTGAACCAAACTGTGCTTCTGTTCTTAGGCCAAGCCAACTCACCCAAACGCTTCCTGATCTATCCTGCTGCCTGTTTTGGGACACAGAAAGGTTGGACACCGTCCTTGTGGATCACAAACTTCTACAAATTACGTTTCTACCAAAGCAAACTGGCAGGTTGAGCAGCTTTTCCCCACTCCTTGCCTCCTCAGGGGGACCTGAGGGCTGTGCACATTTTAGAACATGTTTTCTTTGTAACCTGATGATGCTGACATTGAAGAAAGTAACAATAACCACTGATGGCAAAATAAATGCCCCCATTCAAGGCCAAAATATGGCAGAGGTGGTTTTAGTGCCCAGTGAAATTACAAACAGAATTAAATTTACAGCCCAGATACTGGCACCCTTTATAAAATCAGGAAAAATTATATCATCCAAGCAAAGCAACTTTGCTTGAAATAAAAATCTCAGCTGATTGAAAATCACTGGGTGTAGGGCTTTTGTCCCTGATATTGCCTCTGAATTTACTGACTTGCTTGGCACCAGCCAGAAAAGTGATGTCAGAAGTGAAGGCAGAAATACAGGAGATGTAATCCCAGATCCAGAGGCAGGAGAATGTCATCCTTGCTCCTGTGTCCATGGCAAGATCCTGCTATTTAACTGCCTCCTCTGGCACATCCTGACTTCTGAAAGACAGGATTTGCAGCACGTTTTATTTCATGATATAAACAATGTCAGGACTTCACCTTCACATTCATCTTGAATAATGAGGGATGTTGTTGTTGGCTGTAACAGCAGAGAGGGAGAGAAGCAGGGATGGGGAGAGGAATAGAAGGAGCATCCCAAAGCCACGAAATCAGAAACAAAAAGGGAGAAGACCTTTCAAGTGTGTTCATTTAGAAAATTCAGGATGCTGAATACTAACCCCAGCAATCAGAATGTTACCAAGCAAAATTCATGCCATCATGAGAAAAACAGTGCTGGATTCAGACAGCAGCTTGTGGTAGGGGTAAAACTGCTTTTACAATATTTCCTGATAGAGGAGAAGGCAGCTCAGTGTGATTCAGCTCCATTGGCAAGCAATGGGTTATCCCACTGCAATCCACCCAGGGCAATCCCAGGACACATCAGAACACACACTTGAACTGGGTAAAATGCTTTGACAACTTGAAATCTTCACAATAACTTGAAATCTGTTGCAGCTGAACAACTGAGACAGAGCATCCCACTGCCATCCTCCTCCCAGAGCAAACAGGCCAGGAAAGGGAACTGCAGGAATGTGATCCAGTGTTTTAAACTCAGTGGATAAATGGCACACACCACAGCAAAAGGCATAAACACCTTTTTCACACCAGTTTTTCTTCTCTCCCCTCTCTTCCTGGCTTGCCCTTGGAAGGAGTTTATAGGAAAGAGTTTATAGGGTACTTTTATAATTCCTTCCTCAGCAAAACAACATCAAAACTTGAGACAGCTCACAACCAAAGGGAAATAAAAATAAACAGACAGAAGTCAGGAATACATATGCCTCGAGTCACAGCTCTGCTGGGGAGATTTATTTTTGGCAGTTTGGAAAAATTTCTCATCAGGCTTTGTCTCAAAATATTACACTGAACTTCAAACAGAATTTTACCTTCTTTACACTAAATTGAACAGGAAGAAGGACGTTCAGCTCAGGCCCGGGGGAATCTGCAGTGTTGGTTAGCAAGGACATCGGGTGATTTATTATCTGTTTAAAGTGTGGTGGCCTTTACTGCCTGGGCTGTGATCAAAACAGGAAAAGCATCCAGGCTCCAGCCCTCACAAAGCTACCAAACCACAGCAGCCAAGCAGAACAGCTGAAAAGGGTCCATGCAACTGAACATTAAATTATAATTTATCAACACAAACACACTGAAATATTTGAGTATAGGAATACAATCCCATTATTAGCCTATTTTTCCATGCCATCTAAATACATGCATTCTTTCTCTCTGGATGATTTATCAGGGGTAGAGCAGTTTTCTGAAAAGGGCTCTATAACAGACAAACTCAGTATCTGATGAAGAACCCATGAATTAGGATGTTGTATCATTATCTGAATCAAACCTGATGGCTGAAAGCTAATATAGCATTTCCTCTTTACAAGAGTAAAAACAATGAGTTTATATTTTGATCAAGTAGCTAAACAATGAAATCTGAATCCACATAATTTTTAACTCCCTTTCCATCCTCATTAAAAATAACTCAGCAGAAAATAAACCAAGAATAAATCTGTGTTAAAATCCTGGGCAACAAATGCTTGTCTTTCTGACAACTAAACTATATTATTTATCTAGATCTTAATACCCTGTGTAGAGTACAAAGGACATAGCAATGGCCAGACTACCAACACTGGATTTGTAATTTACTTGAGGTCTGAAGCACTGACAAGTGCCCAAATTGGCATGGGCTGGACAGCCTGACCCCAGATTCTGTCTTGTAAGAACTTAAAAAACGAAAGAAAAGTAAAAAAACCAGCACAGAACAACCTCCAGACAACCCCCAGGATGTACTGGCTGTGCAGGAGGGTGTTTGTAATTCCACCAACACTGAACACTTCCCATCCTTGGACGTGTTCAAGGCCAGGTTGGATGGAGCTTGGAGCAGCCTGGGGTAGTGGAAGGTGTCCCTACCCATGGCAGGGGTGGAATGAGATGAGATTTAAAGTCCCCTTCCAACCCAAACCACACCAGGACTCCATTCTAAGGAACAGCACAGCTGAAGGGGAGCTCTCCTGTCAAAAACTGCGTGCCAGGTTCATGCCCCTCTCCCCAGAGGCAGCGTGCTGGGAGGGTGGATGTCTGTTCCTAGGGACTGGGAGGATGTTTATCCACGTGCCCTCCCAGCCAGGGCTCCACACACTCCATCCACCCTGCTATTATCTCCAGAATGTTGCTGAGCTTCCCATAAATACAGCTGAAAGGGGGAGAGGTGAGAGGCAGCCAAGCATGAAGGATTTGGGAAGAACGCTGGCATCGACTTCTGAGGTGTGTTTGATTATTGTGTACTTCAAGGACACAACTTGTCACCATGAAACACACAAATCAGCAAGTTAACTATAATTAGGAGTAAGCAGTTCTGCTGGTTAATTAGAGAGAGGCAGCAAGCACAGATGCTTCACCCTGCTATGGGAAAATGGGTGAAGGGGTTGGGATCACTCAGACTCTCACCTACCAGTGCACAAGTTTTAAATATTATTTCTGTGTATTGTGAAAAAATCCAGAATCTTCCAATTTTTTTCCCACCAGAAACCCTGGGTACATGTGACTGGGGGTGTACTAAAGGAAACATTTAAGTCTTTATTTAATTAGTTCCAGCAAGTTCCACTTTG